GGTGTAAATACCTATGCTTATGGTTATGGTGGTAATACCGTACCGTCGGGAACTATGAACAACTCTTCTCGTACAAATGCCCTACCCGGTCCATCTTGAAGATAATAAAGAATAGGCTCTCCTTCTTTCGTAACCAATCGACTAATGTTATACGTCTTAAGGGACCATATGGGATCGGTTGCACGACGTAGGCCTCCTTCGAGTTCACCGGCCTGGTATAAATATCTTACCCTTACTCTATCCGGAAGTTTTCGTTCTTTGCCTCTCCTCGGTGCTGAAGATTCGGAAGTCACTGATTTCATTTTAATAGCATCGGATGGTTTCTTCCCTATTAATCTCGTTACTTCATTATTCAGCGCTGATATAACGGCTGATAATCGTGTCACCCATTCGGTTGATCTCAATCGCTCGGATTTCATTTCGATCCCATACTGATAGCCAAACAAACGTTCCGCTAATGTCCTGTTAAATCTTTCGACGATAGCTTGACTGCGGTGGGCCTCTCTTTCACCACGGACGATTTTGACATCGTTCTTTGTTAACAGTTTAGTTACCGATCCCATAAACTCGCGACCGGGATCTACTTGAAATAGCTTAGGCCATTTTAGCGGTCCGCATTTATATATGCGACTCAGTGCATTAGCTACCTCTGTTGATTCTTTCGATGTTAATGGCTCAGCCTCTTTGTATCGACTAGCCACATCCACAACGGTTAAAGCGTATTTGTACGTTTTGCGTTTTACCTTATCGTGGGGAAGAAACAAGAGGTCACCCTGATGAACTTCATTAGTTGTAAAAATATCAAACTTCTTCCTCGGTATATAACGCGGTGCCGGTAAATATATTTGCCACATCGCTTGTTTCTTTAACCAATCCTTGGCAACATCTTTAGATACCTTAGCCGTGGTGGCTAATTTTTTTATTGCTCCTACACCTTTCCAATATCCTCGTGGGCTATAGTAAATTTTATCCATTATTAATTAATATTGATGTTTCGTTTAATACATCTCATGACTATCGTTAAATCGCATAATCATTTTGACATAAAAAATCCCCCCTGTAGTAGCAGTATAGGTATATGAATCTGGCTCCAGTGGAAGTGGTCCAGAACCATCATTACCTATACTACTCTCCTGGCCAGGTTATCAATTCTAATTATAGGAAACAAATACAAAACAGGAATAAAGTTTAATGTAAAGTTTATTTTAACAAAATCAACAACAGAGAGCAAACCTACATCATTATTATACTTCCTACTTTTCACACTTCCCAACCTATGTAATACTATTCAAAACTACATCATTCTTTCACATATTCTTAATTCCACCCTTCTAACCTAACTCCCAAAAATGTAATGTCCCCAAACAAACCTTTTCAATTCCTACTCTTTTTCTCCTCCACCCATAACTAACACTAACTTAAGAAAAACATTATCCCAAACAAAAGAAAACTAACTGCTAATCCACAGAGAAAAAAGGTAACAAAAAGAGAGATCATGGTTCAAGACGCAGGGGTCGACCACTTACTATCCCCAGATGCTGGTGAAAGGACGACTGATGATTCCCTGACTGACTGACTGAGGTTGGGAATTTTACGTGCGCTTTACGATTCATATATTATATAGCCGACACACAGACCATGTGACCAGGAAAACGGACACAACCAATGAACACGCTCCTTACAATTGGCTCTCAACCATGGCTTCCGCCTAGCCGAGCATGCAAGGAGCGCGCCATCGTCACAGCTTCCCAGTCACTAGGCCCGCGTGGGCATAAGCTTTCACAAAAGGCCTACAAAGATAGGTACTACGTCACCTACCCCAATCCCCTATTTCTGTTAATCCTACAAAAATAACAACATTGCATACATTGTTGAATGTGTGAAACATCACCTTTGATCTTGAAATTGTGAATAATTAAAATAACATTTAACAATCTGTAACTAGCATTTTATTACGAACATCCTGTTTAATGCAATGAACGGACACTTCGATTACAACCTTGGTTGTCTAATTTTTAGAGCTTCACTTTGCCTGGTTCGGTCTACTAGTGCCTACAGTAACTGAACTGAACTTTATTACACTCAGACCACTATCAGCGGCATTAGAGGTACAGCATTGATCAACATACACATCACTATATATGCAAATATACAATATATATCAACAGATTTACCAAGCAGTGGCTTCAGTAAATAAAGATACAGGAAAGGGTTCATTTACAAGACATATTGATAGGGTTAAATAGCAGCATTAATATTTTACAAAATTTTGATAATTTTCTGGGTAAAATGTAAAATATTTTCTAATTAGCTGTTTTTCTCTTATTTTGAAATAGTGGGCAGATAAACAGATAGTGGAAGTCATCATCTAAATCAAATGATTTACAAAATGGACATTTTCTTTCAGTTAAAGGTATTTCTTTTCCAACTTCCAGTTTCAATGGGGAGGTTGTGATTGGAGGTTCTAAATACTCACCAAATACTTACTTTCATATTTAAATAATCTTCAAAAATCAGGGATTCATTTTTAACTATGGTATACAGTAAACTATGTTTATAACGAATACGCTTATAACGAACTGACGGTTATAAATAACTTTTTGTTTTGTCTTTTTGGTCCCGACCATTTGCTGTATATACGTTGCATATATGCATATAACGAACAACATTTATAACAAACTAAAATTAGCGTTTCTTTTTGTTTGTTATAACCATAGTTTACTGTACCTGGCTCCTTTGGAAGATTTATCTCAGGTGGCTTTTGGGGCTAAACTCTTATCAGGAAAATCATCAAAATTATCTTTACTCATTCGGAAGCTATTATATAATAATAACCTCTTTGAAAGATGCAAAAGGATAACCTTTGTAAAACAAATCTTCGACAACCATGGCCTAAGTTTCATTTGGCAATCACAAAGTTTTCAAAGTCCAAATCATCTAAAAATATGGTTAAAAACAAATTAAATGATACGCATATCGCAGTCCCGTTTCATTTCGACTAATTTTGACAGAGTTACTGCCCCTGTTTTATGGAGCTTCATTTGCCTAATTGTGAGAGAGGGTACTAAGCTTGTGAAATCAACCCCTCCTACAGTTTCCAGAGAATATCCCTGACACTCTACACACAAGATGTCGACATGTTGATGATACGCATATCGCAGTCCTGTTAGATTTCGACTAATTTTGACAGAGTTACTGCCCCTGTTTTTCTGGAGCTTCATGAAATCTACTCCTCCTCCAGTTCCAGAGAATATTCCTGACACTCTTCACACAAGATGTCGACATGTTGATGATACGCATATCGCAGAAAATATAAACTCGTTAAAAAAATTCATGCGGGGGATGTTGTGCTCTCAGAGCACTCTTGTTTAATATTTCTTATCGAAAGTGCATGTCTGTATGTTTACACTAATCATCACCAGATACACTTAAGCTATTCTAGCCATGGATAAGTGTTTCAGAAAAATGCCTGTCACAAGACAAACACTAAGGTTAAAAGTTTGCAGAATTGTGTTCAGAATTATAAAAAATTGGTTGCAGAATTTACAAAAAAGTTACTGCAGAATTTCTATTTTATTTTGGGCGGGGAATACAGAGGCAACTGATAAAATATGTCTACATTTTTAAATTGTGACGATAACTTAATAGTGAGAACTGAAATGTTGCTGCGAAATGTATATATTATTTACTGAATGTTTGAAAAAAATAATTAATGAAATGTATTATTATGTTTTGTCTGTGCAGGCATTTGTCCACAATAACATGAAGGGATATACCACTTTGTTTCAAGGTTGAAGGCAGTTGCTGAGACCGTCACTGATGCATAAAGATGTTTATATCACACTGTAGGTGTCTGTTGCTGTAGGTATTAGTAGACTCCGCCATGTGCCTAGGTCGTCGAACGATGCATGAGTGGTTTCACCATGGCTCAGTGAAGTCTGTTGTTTACACACAGGGGTGTTCGGGTTGGGACAACTTAAGATAGTGCTGCACCATAGAGATGACTAGCAGTGTATTTATTCAAATACTTAGTGATTGGATACGATTTATTAAAGTGTTTTTTTCTATTAGGAAATGTAAGTAAACTAAGACAGTTTGACAATATAGAGATTTATGCGAGATAAAAGATTCAAGTATTTAGTAATGGGATTAGATTAATTTCAGTTTTTTCAATTAAGAACTAAGTGAATTAAATAACTAAATGTAAGGAGAAGTATAGTTGGAGTACGGATGAACATAGCAGAGATTTGGACTGCAGTGTGGATTTTTGCAAAATAAAAGTCTGTTTTAAGTTAGTGCACACCTGTTAACAGTCAAATGGGTTGATCGATGTTTGTGCCTAGTTTGTGCAACCAGCAAGTCACTCATCCCTTACTATTGTTACTATTAGGTTTCTGGGTTTGTCAGCACCATACCCATGCTCATGGGTTCATCAAAGTGGTTATAATGTGAGACTTGTGTCACTTGGGCACTCCTCCCACAGCAAGCTGACACGCTGTGATACAAACTGGAATACTGTTCTAAGGGCATTAAACACACTCATTCACTTCATTCTCTGTGATGATGGAAAATGTATCCCAGCATGACAACAGTCTGTAACTAGTCCCAAGCCAGACTCTGGTAGGAACAGCTGATCATGGTTCATACGCTATCACGGAAATTTACAGAAATGGCACCAAAAACAAACTTGGGCTTTCAGGCACAAAACATATGGCACAGACTCTGACAAGTGTTGAGTTTTCAGGTGTAACATCGTGCATCTCACCATGACCTAAAATCCATATGGACCAGGGTGTGGAGTTATCCCACAGATGACATCCTTACCTTGTCAGCTTGCTGACGGGATGAACCTCTTTAGTCATGTGGACAATGCGTCTGACCTCAGATCAGGACTGTGGTTCGAATCCCATCACAGGACTTGGAAATCTTATTTCCACTACACATTGATGATATTTACAGCGATTTGCTGATGCTAGTATTCGGAGTAATTCCTGTTTCAGACCGGTGTTCGGGAAGTTGTGGCCATAAAATGTGTGTTAAAGTCCACTTTAAACAAGGCCTCAACAGAGAATCTCCTCACTGAGATTGAGCTCCTGAAGACGCTGAAGCATCCAAATATTGTAGAGCTGAGAGACTTCCAGGTAGGTTATGAATAGTACGTAGTACTTGAATATACTGTGCTCAGTGGGATCCGCAATATCTTTTGTTTTCATAACAGGACTGTTGTATGTCATGTTTCATACTACACAGAATATAACCACATGCTAATATTGGCTAGGTTATTGTGAAGTATTGTGTATTATAAAAAGAGAATATAATGTATGAATATCCCGATTTATATTTACATGTGTATAGTGACAAAATACTGTATTTATCTGAAAATATAAAATTGACATTCAATTCGACTGAGTTAACATTTACTTTAAAACTGTCAGTCTGCCTCAATGACACTATGGGCTGCAGAGACAGATTGCAAGGATTATGGAAATAAACATGTTCAGCTCATCTCGTGACCTGACAACATTTTACTTGCACACGTATGAACTAGCACTGATCTCATTAATTACTCACTGTTGCAACATATGAAAGGGTAAGAACTTACTAACAAGGTAAACATTTGTATAACAATTAAAGTTACATTGACAAAGTTGGAAGTCGTATACTGTATCCTAATTAGATATGGAGAACATACGTTGTGTCTTTTTGGTTTGACTGAATCAGCGATATCGTGAAGGGCGTAATTGCGAGGAACGACTGTGTCCAGTTGGTCAAGTCACTCCATGAGATAAACGTGTTATTTGACATGAACATGTAACTGGTGTGTATATATATATGTATTAAGCACTTTCGCAATAAGGGAGTTTAATGTGTGAGTGTCAGGAGAATATGATCAGCATCCCTTGTAACTCTGCCCCTCCCTCCTCCAGTGGGACGACGCCTACATCTACCTCATCATGGAACACTGCAGCGGTGGGGACTTCTCACACTTCATCCGTAAACGTCGCCGTCTTCCTGAACATCTGGTCAAAAGGTTCCTGCAGCAACTAGGTTCGTTATATTGACAACTCAGATTCACACTAGTTGTGAGTCTTCACTTGTTGGCTTGTGGGTTTTGCTATATTGGTAATATAGGACGTACATTAATTCAGGCTTTCCTCCCATATTGAGCTGATATACTGTGATATGACTGAAATGCTGTCCTCCTTTACTCACTCACTCACTTCACCCACCCTCCAAGATCAACCCTCCAACCCACCCACCCCGTGATATAACTGAAAGTGGCATAAATCCACTCCAGCTCTCACACCTTCACTCACTTCTTCATTCATTCCTTCACTCACTCACCTTCACCCACCCACCAAGATCCACACTCCACCCACCCACTCAACTGAAAGTGGCACATGACCACTCCAGTTCTCACACCTTCACTCCTACACTCGCCTACACTCACTCACTCACTCACTCATTCACTCACTCACTCACTCACTCACTCACTCACTCACTCATAAAGGAAGGAAGGAAGGAAGCCTAGATCCAACCCTAATGTTTGTGTGCAATGTTTTGTGTTTATGCTATATTACTGCGAGAAAATGTGTTCCTTATTAACTGCCAAATTCACTAAACATGGACATCATCCCTGTTAGCTGTTTAGTTATCCTGTGTTACATATAGAGCATCTCACCCAAGTGTCTTTTGACATCAAATATAACAGCACGAGTTGATAAAAGTGGAAAAACTCTGAGGCTTGCCGAGTAGTTTTTCCACTTTTATCAACGATATCAAAAGACACGAGGGTGACATTTTATTTATCATCCAACATCATTCTCCAAACTTTTTCAGTTTGTAGACAGTAATCAGCAGTGTCTTAAGTGCAAAAAATACTGCCAACAGCTTCAGTAGCAAAGCATTGTAATGCAATTTCATTGCAGCGATGTCCACAGTGTAGATATCCTGTCTACACGGTAGATATGGCTTGATCTCACCCAAGCGATATCTACTGTGGGAGCCAGTTTTGGATGATAAATATATATCCCACTCCAGGCAGTACTATTGGACCTAACATACAGGTCATGGCTAGCTCATAACAAACAGGTTTAAAAATGAAATATCAAACAGTCACAGAGATTAAATATATATATCTCAATTGTCCAGCGCACAGTATCAATACTTCGTGGTGTGCATCTCGGTGTGTAATTATGTTGCCACTCAATACTGTCACAACTTGTCTCAGTGACCTTCCACCGTTGTCACAGATCAATGATGAGCACTATTAAACTGACATGTCAATTGGATGTGGACGTTGGTTACATAACGAGCCCCAGAGAAGGATTCTGTCTGTTGTTAGCAACACATGTCTATCTTTGTTGCATGTCATGCATGTTTACCCTTGATCCTCAGTATTGATTGTTGATCAATGTGACGACTAAATGAAAGACGAAGAGTACAGGTGACATGTAAAGTGCAGTTCAGTCAGCTTAACCCGTCTCTATTCTTTTCTCCTACTGATGTAGGCGTTGCTCGATTTATTGGACAATGTATATCTAAATATGGATGGTATTGCTTACAGGACATTGTGGCATTTAAGATGTTATGATTGGGGAATATAGAGAGAATCTTACCCGAGTAACTTTTGATATACCAAGCCGCTACACTGGATATGTTTATGTTACTTATACATATCGCAGTCGGGGGCAAGGGTGGCCCAGTCGTCTAAGGCGCCGCGATTCGCTGTGCAGAGTTGCGTCCCTTGGGCACGCCAGAAACCTATGATTGTGGGTTCGAATCCCAGTTCGCCCCGATTATGTTTCTAGGTTTGTCAGCACCATACCCGTGCTCGTGGGTTTCACCGAAGTGGTAAACGTCTGAGACCTGCATCACTTCGGGCTTTCCTCCCACATTAAGCTGACACGCCGCGATATAACTGGAATACTGTTAAAAGCGGTGTTAAACCCAACTCACTCACTCACTCACTCACATATCGCAGTCAAAACAACCAGAATAACGAGATAATGAAAATTTGTATTGTGGCTCAGTAACAATGGTTACATATTGATTACTTCTGAGTGTGAAGCCAGTTTCTGGTGTCCCACACTGTGATTTTGCTGGAATATTGATAAAAGCGGCATAAAACCATACTCACTCACTAACTAGTTCTATATATATTCTGTACAATGTTCCTCATTCAGTCTTGCTTGACAACGGTATAAGGATCTATACCAAAACATGGCCTTTACAGTATTGAAGAAGTTGTTATCCATAAATTGTGTCTACTTTGTCATCCGTCAACTTCTAAGTAATGCCTATCAAACAATTCATACTCACTCATCACTATTTACATCTGATGTTTTCACTTGTTATCACTGAGGTAATGATATAGGATAATGTGTACTGAGTCAGCCACGAAAGCAAGGGCGCAAATGGGGAAAACATAGAAAAGTCATTTTTGGCATTTCCAGATTATAATACAAGAAAATAGCACATGACAATATTGATTTTGGTGTTTATAAAAAGTTTATTGTAACACGAAATACAAATATAGTTGTGAATCACCTTGTCCAGGAACCTTCTATCCCTTATGTTGTAGTGGCATCAACACCTGAACTAGAGTTGTTATCAAGTCTTTGAAAGGCATTTAGAAGTGAGGCACATAAGGAAGAGAATTTATGGATGTCAACTTCTTTATTATGAGGACCACAACATTCGGAGTACATACTTACTCCTTCATCAGCTGATATATAAGTATATACTTACTCTTTCATCGGCTGATATATAAGTATATACTTACTCCTTCATCGGCTGATATATAAGTATATACTTACTCCTTCATCGGCTGATATATAAGTATATACTTACTCCTTCATCGGCTGATATATAAGTATATACTTACTCCTTCATCGGCTGATATATAAGTATATACTTACTCCTTCATCGGCTGATATATAAGTATATACTTACTCCTTCATCGGCTGATATATAAGTATATACTTACTCCTTCATCGGCTGATATATAAGTATATACTCCGAAACATTGTGTTCCCCATAGTAAAGAAGTTGACATCCATAAATTCTCTTCCTGAAGTTTGTATCTCACACTCTGTCTCTGACAAGTTTAACTTGAAGTGTAATGTGTAGCATTCAAATAAGCTCACCTCTTTGTCGATTTCCTAAGTGCCTAGGCAAATACAGTTCCATATTCACAGTAATAAGAATAATGTGTGCTCAAAGCACAACAGAAAAAAACAACAACATGCACAGTCTTCGGTCAAGAGTTTTCAAGAGTCACTTCAACTAAAGTAGTGATGTAGCTAACCTCAGATACACTGATAGGAAATTCCACAGGTCGGCAGAGACGAGCAAATGTTTTGGATCTGTTTTAAAATAGTAGCATTCAGTTTGAATTGATAGCTTGATCTGAGAGTATGTACAGAGCAATACCCGTTGACCAGGTCACACAGGTAGGAAATGGGCCAGAATTAGCACTCTGGTTGGTTAGAAACATAATTTCTTTGTGAGTGTCTGTGCTTATGCGTGTGTGTTTGTACAAGCATGCTTATAAGCGTAGACTAGGTCAAACTTGAGACATTGCAGTAGATGACAAACATAGTTCAAACATTGATGAAACTAAAACTATTTGATGGAAATGATGTACCCATGCTAAACTGGTGTGCTTTCTGTAAATAAATCAAGAATTTAAGTAGTAGTCAGTAGAGTTAAACATAACGAAAGAAATGTGCTGCTAGGAATGAATTACTTCCCTTCCCCTTGCTATCTACTTCAGAGATTTGTAAGGCATACACATTGTTGGAAAACAATTGGTGAAGAATGCTCTTCAAAACATGATTTAGTTCCACATTTTTGTTAAGGTAATAGTTAAAATCTGAAAATATTAAGGAAGAAATATTTTTCAATATGCTGTGCAGTCATAGTGTCTACATGTATTGTTACATATTATATGATATATGTATCCCATAATCCTTCTGCCCTCAGCCGGTGCCATGATGTTCCTCTGGAACAAGAATGTGGCCCACATGGACCTCAAACCCCAGAACATCCTCCTGACATCTATCACTCACCCCACCATCAAGATAGCAGGTACGTGTGGTGTCAGTGTTACGCACCCCACCATCAAGATAGCAGGTACGTGTGGTGTCAGTGTTACGCACCCCACCATCAAGATAGCAGGTACATGTGGTGTCAGTGTTACGCACCCCACCATCAAGATAGCAGGTACCTGTGGTATAAGTGTCACACACCCCACTGTCAAAATAGCAGGTACGTGTGGTGTCAGTGTCACTGACCCCACTGTCAAGATAGCAGGTACGTGTGTCACTCACCCCACCATCAAGATAGCAGGTACGTGTGGTGTCAGTGTCACACACCCAAACCATAAAAATCGCAGGTACCTGTGGTGTCAGTGTCACTCACCCCACCATCAAGATAGCAGGTACATGTGTAGTCAGTGTCACGCACCCCACTGTCAAGATAGCAGGTATGTGTGGTGTCAGTGTCACACACCCCTCTGTCAAGATAGCAGGTACATCTGACACTCACCCCACTGTCAAGATAGCAGGTACGTGTGGTGTCAGTGTCACTCACCCCACTGTCAAGATAGCAGGTACATGTGTCACTCACCCCACTGTCAAGATAGCAGGTACGTGTGGTGTCAGTGTCACTCACCCCACTGTCAAGATAGCAGGTACATGTGTCATTCACCCCACTGTCAAGATTGCAGGTACGTGTGGTGTCAGTGTCACTCACCCCACCATCAAGATCGCAGGTACGTGTGTAGTCAGTGTCACGCAACCCACTGTCAAGATAGCAGGTACATGTGTCACTCACCCCACTGTCAAAATAGCAGGTACGTGTGGTGTCAGTGTCACTCACCCCACCATCAAGATAGCAGGTACGTGTGGTGTCAGTGTCACGCACCCCACCATCAAAATAGCAGGTACGTGTGGTGTCAGTGTCACTCACCCCACCATCAAGATAGCAGGTACGTGTGGTGTCAGTGTCACGCACCCCACCATCAAGATAGCAGGTACATGTGTCACTCACCCCACTGTCAAGATAGCAGGTACGTGTGGTGTCAGTGTCACGCACCCCACCATCAAGATAGCAGGTACATGTGTCACTCACCCCACTGTCAAGATAGCAGGTACATGTGGTGTCAGTGTCACGCACCCCACTGTCAAGATAGCAAGTACGTGTGTCACTCACCCCACTGTCAAGATGGCAGGTACGTGTGGTGTCAGTGTCATGCACCCCACTGTCAAGATAGCTTGTATGTGTGGTGTCACTCTCCCCATCGTCAGGTTATAATACCCTTGGGGAGTTGACTGGATGCTGTAAAGTTAGTTCCATGAACTTTGCTGTAACAAATAGAATGCATGTTGGATCAGCCAAGAAATTATATTCCCATACTGATGGTAAGAGTTTGAATCAGTGGGACAAGAGTGGTGAGATGTGTTTCACTCCTTTAAACCCAGTTTTAACTTTGATAGCCTGAGCTCAGTGGGATAGCAGCCATGTTTAATGTTTTATGTCTTTACAAGTACACAAACTAGTTCATTGATAAACCTTTCACAAAGATGTTCTGAAAGATGAAACACAGACCAGCAAGTCTGTATTGTTTATTCTCATCCACAAGAAACATACTTCTTCTTTCAGATTTTGGGTTTGCGAAGCACTTGTTTGATGGTGATGCCATGAATGTGATGAGAGGATCCCCTCTGTACATGGCGCCGGAGATCATCTGTAGAGGGGAGTATGATGCAAGAGTGGATCTGTGGTCTATAGGTGTTATACTGTATGGTAGGTGGATCTGTGGTCTATAGGGGTTATACTGTATGGTAGGTGGATCTGTGGTCTATAGGGGTTATACTGTATGGTAGGTGGATCTGTGGTCTATAGGTGTTATACTGTATGGTAGGTGGATCTGTTGTCTATAGGTGTTATACTGTATGGTAGGTGGATCTGTGGTCTATAGGTGTTATACTGTATGGTAGGTGGATCTGTGGTCTATAGGTGTTATACTGTATGGTAGGTGGATCTGTGGTCTATTAGTGTTATACTGTATGGTAGGTGGATCTGTGGTCTATTAGTGTTATACTGTATGGTAGGTGGATCTGTGGTCTATAGGTGTTATACTGTATGGTAGGTGGATCTGTGGTCTATAGGTGTTATACTGTATGGTAGGTGGATCTGTGGTCTATAGGGGTTATACTGTATGGTAGGTGGATCTGTGGTCTATAGGTGTTATACTGTATGGTAGGTGGATCTGTGGTCTATAGGGGTTATACTGTATGGTAGGTGGATCTGTGGTCTATAGGTGTTATACTGTATGGTAGGTGGATCTGTGGTCTATAGGTGTTATACTGTATGGTAGGTGGATCTGTGGTCTATAGGTGTTATACTGTATGGTAGGTGGATCTGTGGTCTATTAGTGTTATACTGTATGGTAGGTGGATCTGTGGTCTATAGGTGTTATACTGTATGGTAGGTGGATCTGTTGTCTATAGGTGTTATACTGTATGGTAGGTGTATCTGTGGTCTATTAGTGTTATACTGTATGGTAGGTGGATCTGTGCGTTTTAAGTGTTTTACTGTGTTGTTGGTGGATCAGTGGTCTATAGGTGTTATACTGTATGGTAGGTGGATCTGTGCGTTTTAAGTGTTTTACTGTGTTGTTGGTGGATCAGTGGTCTATAGGTGTTATAGGGGCGGTTGGGTAGCCTAGTGGTTAAAGCGTTCGCTCGTCACGCCGAAGACCCGGGTTCGATTCCCGACATGGGTACAATGTGTGAAGCCCATTTCTGGTGTCCCCCGCTGTGATATTGCCGGAATATTGCTAAAAGCGGCGTAAAACCATATTCACTCACTCACTGTAGGTGTTATACTATTCTGTAGGTGGATCTATGACTTAAAAGTTGTACTGTATGGTAGACATGTCTGATGTTGAAAGGGATTATGGCATAAGTGATCATTTTGGAAATGGCGAATAATAATAAAAAAACATCTTTACTAAGATGAGTGCAAGAGGCTATATCTGGCCCAAACTGGACTTCAGATTACACTGTTTCTCGTACAACTACCGCAACCATGAAGACACTATTTATTGCACAACTGCTTAGGTTGTATTGGACAGCAATTGTTGGTTACATATGGATGAGGATTGTCATCAATCACTAGTAGTTAGAATGTACATGTTCTTTATTTAGTTGCTCAACATACTCATATCAGCTAACTGTTATTCGATGTCTTTATGCCCTCATGTATCTTCTACTTTTGGTTTCAGAATGTCTGTTTGGGAGAGCCCCGTTTGCTTCACAGAGCTTTAAGGAGTTAGGGTCTAAGATATGGGATGATAAACCAGTAGAGGTAGGTTGTAGCTGAAGTAAGGGCAGAATAGATGTGTGATGTCAAAGAGTTAGGGGGTCAGTTAACCTGTGTAAGGGCAGAATAGATGTGTGACTTCAAAGAGTTAGGGGGTCAGTTAACCTGTGTAAGGGCAGAATAGATGTGTGCATCCACATGCAGGATGTTAAACCAATAGAGGTAGGTTTTAGTTAAGGTAAGAAGAACCTTTATTCTGAAGCCAAAAATATCTTTGATCCTCTTCAATTTTCAAGTGTATAATGTCTCTGATATGTTGGTCTGATACATCCTGCCAAATAGCAGACATCTGCAGGGGAAATTATGTGGGAAGGAACTGACAAGAGACATGGAAGCTATGCTAAAATACTGGTTGAGGATATTGATCATGTTTGAGATTTTATGTTCTCAGTCTGTGAACTGTGGTGTAAGACTACATTCACACCACCCAGATGAATGTGCCCAGATGATAGCTCATAATGTCAAACACATGATTGTCTGGTCCAGACTACTATTTACAGGCCTCTGTCATATAGCTGGAACATTGCTGAGTGAGGCGTTAAACATTAAACCAAGACAATCACTAACTCTAATTAGCAGGCAGCTGTGTAATGACTGATCCCTGTTTCAGTTACCTTATGGGGTGGACGTTACAGAAGATGCCAGGGATCTTCTTCTTCGGCTGCTGAAGAGGAAACCAGATGAGAGAATTACATTTGAAGAATTCTTTGCTCACCCATTTGTGGATATGACCCATGTGCCATCACATGACAGTCTGAGTCATGCAGTGAGTGTTATATACAAGTTATACAATGGGGTGGGCTTTATATACAAGTTATACAATGGGGTGGGTTTTATATACAAGTCACACAGTGGGGTGAGTGTTGTATACAAGTTATACAGAGGGTGAGTGTTATATACAAGTTATACAGTCGGGTGAGTGTTATATACAAGTTATACAATGGGGTGGGTTTTATATACAAGTCACACAGTGGGGTGAGTGTTGTATACAAGTTATACAGAGGGTGAGTGTTATATACAAGTTATACAGTCGGGTGAGTGTTATATACAAGTTATACAATGGGGTGGGTTTTATATACAAATTATACAGTGGGGTGAGTGTTATATACAAGTTATACAATGGGGTGGGTTTTATATACAAATTATACAGTGGGGTGAGTGTTATATACAAGTTGTTCAATGGGGTGGGTTTTATATACAAGTTATACAGTGGGGTGAGTGTTATATACAAGTTGTACAATGGGGTGGGTTTTATATACAAGTTATACAGTGGGGTGAGTGTTATATACAAGTTATACAATGGGGTGGGTTTTATATACAAGTTGTACAATGGAGTGGGTTTTATATACAAGTTATACAGTGGGGTGAGTGTTATATACAAGTTATACAATGGGGTGGGTTTTATATACAAGTTGTACAATGGAGTGGGTTTTATATACAAGTTATACAGTTGGGTGAGTGTTATATACAAGTCATACAGTGGGGTGAGTGTTATATACAAGTTATACAATGGGGTGAGTTTTATGTACAAGTTATACAGAGTGTGAGTGTTATATACAAGTTATACAATGGAATGGGTTTTATATACAAATTATACAGTGGGGTGAGTGTTATATACAAGTTATACAGTGGGGTGGGTTTTATATACAAATTATACAGTGGGGTGAGTGTTATATACAAGTTATACAATATGGTGGGTTTTATATACAAGTTGTACAATAGAGTGGGTTTTATATACAAATTATACAGTGGGGTGAGTGTTATATACAAGTCATACAGTGGGGTGAGTGTTATATACAAGTTATACAATGGGGTGAGTTTTATGTACAAGTGATACAGAGTGTGAGTGTTATATACAAGTTATACAATGGAGTGGGTTTTATATACAAATTATACAGTGGGGTGAGTGTTATATACAAGTTATACAATGGAGTGGGTTTTATATACAAATTATACAGTGGGGTGAGTGTTATATACAAGTTGTACAATGGGGTGTTTTTTTATACAAATTATACAGTGGGTGAGTGTTATATACAAGTTGTACAATGGGGTGGGTTTTATATACAAATTATACAGGGGGGTGAGTGTTATATACAAGTTATACAGTGGGGTGGGTTTTATATACAAGTTACACAGTGGGGTGAGTGTTATATACAAGTTGTACAATTGGGTGGGTTTTACATACAAGTTAATAATAATAATAATAAGGATATTTGTATAGAGCAAAATCCTCATCGCTGAGGGACATGCTCAATGTGCAAATTCAGCATAAAAACATACAGTAAACTACGGTTATAACAAACTCAAAGGGACCAGTATTTTTTGTTCTTAATATCCGTAGTTTGTTATAAGTGTTTCAAACTAAAGATAATCGCAAATGGCCGGGACCAAAAACAACAGTTCGCTATATCTGTCACTTTGTTATAAGCGTGTTCATTATAAACATAGTTTACTGTATATACAACAGAGTGCAGACAGTAAGATAGTTATACAGTGGGGTGAGTGTTATACACAACTTATTCAGAGGGGTGGGTTGCTGATCTGATGACAACTTTTTCAGTTAACATTTTGTAAAATGAATGTACACCATCCCGATACATTCTTGTTTTGTTGACATACCATTGTTGATGATGTTGCTACCTTGTGTAGATTGAGCTGGTCACAAAGGCTGTGAAGAAAGACAACGAGCGGAACTACAAGGCAGCCATCAGGTTATACACTGAAGCTCTCGACTACTTCGTGGCAGCTGTACATTGTGAGTCAATACAAGTTGTAGCAGGATCATTCAGGGTACATGGGGTTTTATGTGTCCATGTTCGGTTAACTTGTGCTATGTCACGTGACTTTCATTGACTCGGAAAAAGCGTGCAACTTTTTGTTTCGAAGTGGGGTATAAGGGATTTATTCTGCCTCTCAGAAATATATGTGTAGCCTGACTTGCTCGTGGCGGGGTAAAAGGGATTTATTCTCCTGCTGAGAAGTTTATTACCCTAGCAGATAACACAAATGAACATAGATACTTCCCTTTACCCAATGTATTCGGTGATACACTGGTTCATTTCAGCTCAACTATACTTATGCGAGATAAGCAAGTTACCTAAGGTGTGTTCGGTTGATTTCTCAGCGGCATACATGGAAAATAATTGCCCACTCCTTAGCCAATCAGAAACTAGTATTTTAATGAGGTGAGATAAAGCTTCTAAGAAGGTGCAACCATTTATAGTCATTGCACTATGACCCGTAGGGGTATAGATTCCCAATGCCTAATGTTGAAACTATGTTCCCCTCATTGCCCCAGTTGGTATGGTGTCATTAATTGATACCTTCATGTCATCAAAACAACAGGTGGATTTCAGTGACATATCTTAAAATGTGCCAATAGGACAAGACCAACACAGGATACATTCTTCCTCTTTTACAGCTGTAAGTCTCTTGCCAAGGGGTCTGGGCATACACAAGTCACGGAATATTCTGTAATTCCTCGTACCTTGTGGATTATTATCCAAAAACGAAAGAATATGATATAATAGGATGCAAACGGTCATGAATTCTTTCTGAACTATTCACCTGTGAGGAGTTTGATCCATGTGAAGTTGGGAACTACTGTGCAACATAATCACCCACCACGAAGTGGAGGAGGGATAAAGGAATGGGTGCTGTCTGTCCGTCCTTCAATCTGTTCGTCCGTCCGTCACGTTTTGTTTCCGGAGCCTTTTGATAGTTTGGGATTTTTTTTTAATTTCTTTTTCGAGTTTCTATGGCAACGCCTTTGATTTAGGCTGAAAATGGTGGTATTAGCAGGGGACATGAGTATTTCATGCTTTTTCTGGTGCTGAAGTTTATGTAGCTGGAACTTCACATGGATTACTGTACATTTAACATGTTTCATGGGAAATATCAAATACAGTACACTACATCATTTCATGACTTTACAGGACCCTCATATTCCTTGTAAGGACCCTTGAAATTAATTATTGAAGTCCCCTAGTTGCATGGTAAAACCCTGTTGTGATACAATTAACTTAGTTAACTTCTTAAGGTGTCATCATGGTCAGGCTCGCTGACTTGGTTGATGCATGTCATCGTATCCCAATTGCGTGGGTTGATGTAATGATGTCAATCACTGGATTGTCTGGTCCAGACTCAATTATTTACAGACCACCGTCATATAGTTCAAATATTGCTGAGTGCGGCTTAAACAAAAAACAAACAAACTTAAGGTGTTCGCAGCAAATACTCTACTACAACAAAACCGAATCTCTAACTGGCAATCTAAGTCAACACTGATGTGAACTCCAGGAGGTAGTTGTGATGCAGTGAACAGTGCAGTCCCCGTGACGGTCCAGATCTCCCCACTGAGAGAAGCTGATGAAGCCAGAGAGCCCTGGATGATTGATAACACCAGATTGATGGATCTTTAATATTTCAGTTTTGTTGAAACATGTTTTTTTCTGTTGTAGATGAAAAAAATCCCAACAAGAAAGAAGCCATGAGGAAGAAGGTGTGTATTTTGAGGAAGACCAAGTCTTGAGTACTAGAAGGGTTAGAGGGCTGTTCAGGATATGCTAAATCCAAGGATGTGAAACTCAGATTAACTCGTGGGTTCAAGCTAAAGCCATTTTCAGGGCTTATTTTCATGATTCTTTGTTATGCATTCTGAATAAACATGACAGTTACCTGAATCTACAAGTAGCTTCGTGTTGTGTAGGCGCCACCAACAGCTACCCCATACCCGCTACTACATCAGTATACTGGTCAATGAAAATTGGGGGGCACTGGTGGCCCAGTCGTCTAGGCGCCACAATTTGCTGTGCAGAGTTGCATCCCTTGGGCATGCCAGAAATCTATGATTGTGGGTTCGAATCCCAGTTCACCCCGATTATGTTTCTAGGTTTGTCAGTACCATACCCGTGCTCGTGGGTTTCACCTAAGTGGTAAACATCTGAGACCTGCATCATTTCGGGCTTTCCTCCCACATAAGTTGACACGCCGTGATATAACTGGAATACTGTTAAAAGCGGTGTTAAACCCAACTCACTCACTCACTCACTCAATTGACAATATTTGACCCCCTTTGGGCTCATTTGTCAAAGTTGACCCTACTTACCCCAAACTTGCTGAGGTTAGTTGGTTACAGTGTGTCTGTGTAGTAGGTCATTGTTTGGCCATCTGCTGACTGGTCTGGTTATGGAATGCCATGATATTGCTGAATTATTGCTGACTAATCTGGTCAAACCACCGTGAGTATCTGGGTTAGAAATAGTCTTCAGCAACCCATGCTTGTTGCAAGTTGGCGTGCTGACTTGGTTGATGCATGTTATCCTATCCCTGTTGTGTTGATCGATGCTGTGTAATTAACTTTATTGTCTCAATAGTGTACAATCTGTCTTCTGATAGCTGGAATATTGCTGAGTGCAGGGTTCAACAACAAACAAGTTTCAATAAACACTGCTGTTCTTCAGGTGAAGGAGTACATGGACAGGGCTGAAGTGTTGAAGACGTTACTCAAACCACAGAAGCCTGAAGACTCCCTCAGCAGATCCCTGTCTCTCAACGAATACGAAGAACTGAGTGAGTCTGGTTACAGTAGCTTCCACTGGAAGGCCTGAAATTATCTCGCACTATAAACAAAAGGAAATCTAATTTGACAGGCACTGACATCTTCCTGAGGCAAGGGCATTAACTGACTATTAAGTTCGGCTTCCACCCTTGCCCAACTAGGCTGGAATTTCCAGACTCGTCGTAACACTACCAGTGACTATTACGAGTTATGTCTCTTCTATGCCCCTCCTATTGACCAATCCGATTCTATCTCTCATATCACTTACATTTGCTTCACACACAATGGCACACTCAGTCAAGACGATCTGAGCGATAATCAAGATCTATATTGTAATAAAACGGGTCTTACCCCAAATCGTTTGAGCACCTTGATTAAAAATATAAAAAGATTTGCAAATATCTGTAGACGCCCAGTTGATGGTTCACATGCTTTGCAAATCCTGCATGTTGAAATCCATGTTTACGAACTATATGTCTAGGTCATTACGCGATTTTGATTGGACTAGACGTAGACCTGTTGGTCAAGTCAAAATGTAACTCCGGAATTCCAGCCTAGTTTGGCATGGATGGAAGCTAGACTTTTATGGTCAGTTAATGCCCTTGCCTTGGGAAGATGAGGCACTGACAGCATCAGCAAATACCCAATATGAAGGTATCTAGGTGACTTGATTCTTGGGACACAAAGCAAGGATGCAACTACAATAAGAATAAGTCTGACCACCCTCAACAACAATAATCTATCTTATCAGCTTCATTTGCAACATATGATAAGCATTTCTTAGAAGTTGACAGATGAGACAGTAGACCAATCTCATTAAAATCAGATCTGAGTTCTCGCTGCCGCTAAACAAAGATCTGAGGACATCCCATTACGGGTCACGTCAGAACAACCTTTCGCGAACTTTGACCGACAACTGAAATTAGTCGAAAGAAGTCGACATCAGCCAATTAGAAAGCAGCTTTCTCGAGCTTTAAGGTACTCGTTTCAACCTGGCGACTTCCATTCCAGATTACGCTTGAAAAATATGTTGACAAAGTTCTCAATTAAAATTATATGGCTGAGATTGTATAGCAATGCTTCCCACATACTGTTCAACGCCTCCTCCATTCAAATGTTTATCCCACTGAAGCGAGAGATAGACGATAATTTTGACGGAATCAGTAGTACGGGTCGTAACTGTCATTCGGAATACCCCGTGTTGACGTTTTTGAAGTTGCATGATTAGAAAACACATTCCGACTGTCACTTTCATGATCTGGTAAGCGACGATCTGATTGGTCGGATGAAAGGTCGTTCTGACGTGACCCGTAATAGGATGTCCTCAGATCTTTGTTTAGCCATAGCGAGAACTAGGATCTGATTTTAATGAGATTGGAAAGTAGACACAATTTATGTATAACAACTTCTTTAATGTTATATTATAGCGAGATTTTGCTAAAGATCCTTATATTGTTGTCAAGGAAGTCGCTATCATTATGTTTTGAAAAAGTTGTTATCCATTAATTATGTCCTGAAGGTTGTGTGAATCTGTTCCAGCTGATCTTTGTCTCGGGAAGCCGGAGCTGCAGGCTGCGCTGCGACTGATCAAAGCTGCAGAATCTGAGGTAGGGATATGGTTGTGATGTGGATTGTAATGAAAACAGGGCAAGTTCAGTGATTTCCTGTTTATCATATAATGGGTAGGTATCTCGGCAGGATAAAGCCAAGGGATAAAAACGATATCCGTTGGGTCATATGAGGATATAGATGCAAATATCAAAGGTCAAGTAGGGACTACTTTCAATTTTTAAACATGGCACTGCCTTTGTCATTCGGCGATTCAGCCAGAATTAACCGGGGCGGTTGGGTAGCCTAGTTGTTAAAGCGTTCGCTCGTCACGCCGAAGACCCGGGTTCGATTCCCGACATGGGTACAATGTGTGAAGCCCATTCCTAGTGTCCCCCACCGTGATATTGCTGGAATATTGCTAAAAGCGGCATAAAACCAAACTCACTCACTCAGAATTAACCATCGGGAATCTGGAGAAACTACTGGGATATTTGCTATCATTATCAAAACAATAATCTAAAATACTGAAAATCAGTGTCGAACTGTGACGTAGCTAAAGCAGTTTAAAAGTTTTGGCAACTGTGGACTTCATGTTTGCACTGACAGCCATACAACAACCAGCTGTATCGCAGAATAAAATAGTTCCTTAAAACAATAGGTGACATGAACATAGATACGCTCAACATGCTCCACAGGAACAAATATACTCAAATGTAATCCTTATTAGATGAGAAAGGTCAATCACTAAAAGGTGATTGTAAAGATGTGTCAAATAGATACTTAGGTACATTCTTACATTGCTGTCACTGTAGTTTAGACACGGACCGAGTCGATACTACAGTAGTTTGGATGTGCTTTTCTATGTTATGTTCTCTATGATAGGTTGTCATGAGGATATCCTTGAACGGACATGCAATCACACTGTCTGACATATCCAATGTATGCTAAAACACTAAGTTCAAAATGAAAGGGTCTAAATGTTCAGAAGCTATGCTTTTGTATGTATTCATGCTAGGGAATTCCCAGGGTTTTCACCAGGGATGTGGAAGTAGTCCGTCAGTGTTTACAGTGTCATTTCACGAACACAGTCTCGTGAAAAACGTATGAACGTCAAATTGTGTCGTTTATACACTTTTGATCATCAATTTCGCAGTCATGTGACCGACCTCTCATCCAATAGAAAAGATGTATATTATGTAAACTTCAAATTTAAAAATTATAAATATTTAGATTACTGTATTGAGGATAAGTTTTAATCTAATTTCCCTTTGGTTATGTGTAGATGTTCCAAGTACCCAACAGTTATAATCAGTAAGGTAGTGTCCACAATAACATGGTTTTACTAATGTCCAACTGACAATGTTTGCAAGAAATTTTATTCATTGCACTGTGATGAAAAGTCCAATTAAGCTAACTGATATGAACAAGAAAAATGTAAAGAAATATAATGATTAATACATTAGTCTGTAGACTTCAGGTATGTATTATGAGGTCCTGTTTTCATATGGCATGTACAAATAATTTTACTTAATTTATATTTGAAAGCTGAAACATGAGTTTTTATTTTTGTTTGTTGTTGAGGTGAGGTGAAATGGGGTTTAACGTCACGTCCAAAATTATTGCACTTATATAGCAACGTGCATGCATGTGTGTGTGTGGTGGGGTGGGTGAGTGTATTAATCTGGACTAATGCCGAATATAGTGCCGATTATGGTGCTCGCCCACTGAGTTACCATGTCGCAGTTGAACATGAATACCCCACTCATACACAGTATACTGACTCCGAGCCGACCAGTCCTTGCTTTAGCCCCTCAATGCCAAGCGCTAGGCAGGGTAACAACAAGTACCATCTTTTGACGTCCTTTGGTATGACGCGGTCAGGCTTAGAACTCCAGATCTTCCTCTCTCCAGGCGGCGCTAAACCATTTGGCCATGGAGGCGGTCAGTTTGTTGTTGAGGTGAAGTGTACAGGCTCATTCTAAATATAGAAAGCTTGCCCTTCCAAAAATCACATTCTTATTTCTTCTGCTTGTTACGTAACTTAATACACACATATACAATACATGCATCATACACACAGTATCACAGAACCATATTACTTTCCCTACTGCCCAACCCATACTATAATGCTATAACTCTAAATGAAGCAAGTCTAGATTTTACACAAGTTGTTATTCTCCCATCTCACTGGGCTCCTTTTCAATTTAAATGGAGTTGTTTGTTTCTGTCAAAATTATACATTTTCAGAGACTCAGGATTATTCTACATGCACACAGTATAAGCAATTAACGTTGTGGTGGGTGATGTGGGATTTATAATAAGAACTGATTTGGGAGGAACGTTTTTGTAAAATGAAAAGGGGATGACATAAACCCTTTATTTACAATTTACAAATAAATGTAGTTGCAAATGTTTAGATTTCATGTTATCTCATACAGAAACAAAGGCAGTTGGAGTCATCTGAACTGAACCACAAAATACGAAGACTTGTAAACAGCATAGATTAATAACACTCTGCTTGATTTTGACCAGGTAATTGTATTGTCTTGTGAACATACCCTCAAGAGTTGCCCCCCTTGATTGAGATAATTTCTGTTCTAGTAACAGATGCTTCAATTTGCATTTTTCAGATGAGAAATTTAGTATGAATGAAAAATGTTTTTATTATGGTTACAGTCAGACAAAGAACAGTTTGAGCAGGCCTTGCATCATTATGAGTTGGCTCTTGCTCCTCTAGTCCAACATCTCCCAGGTAAGTGCAGCAGGACACAGTGTTATTATTATTATATTATACATTTATATACGGCAGGTATCCAGGTACTAGTATCTGCTCAAATGGGGTTTTATTTGTTCCCCGACCAGTGGATTTGTTAGCATTCAAGTTATCATTCTCAACTCCCTGGGTAGTATACAACCCATGCTGCCTAGGGGTGCTAGAAGGTTTTTATATCCACCTCACACATTGGGTAACCATTCCCTGCTGGGTGAACAGAGGCACATTTGAGCTAAGTCACTTGCCCAGGGTGACACCAGAAGTTTTGACACTTGTGTTTCGGATGTATGTACGTATTCGTGTTTCCATCATCTGGTCGTCTACTATCGGACGAGTGGGTTCTTTTGAGTGCACAGGGTGTATGAACTGTAAACTAGGGGTAGTGACAACACTGTAAGAACCTGTAAATATTGTTTGTTTCAAGGCTGAATAACAACCCGAATAACAGTAATCGCTTCAAGATCTGGAAATGTGTATTTAGTTTAAACATATTTTATTGACAGAACACAATAGGACTGAACAAAAGTGATCCTCTTACAAGATCCTCTCATTAGAATATCAAGACATTGACATCACAACACATGTTTGTCTTTATAAAATCAATGTCAAGTATGTGCAAATATACTAACAACAAAAAGTAAGAGAACTAATGATTTGAATGTAGCTATTGTTGAGGTGTACATTTATGAAATTTCACATCGTTCATGAACAGCATGTGATTCATGTGCACACAGAAACCAAAGTGTGTGGTGGTGGAAATAATCACTAATGTAATTGAGCTGTGCACACGCTTAATATGCCGATAGATGAAATGGTGAATTGAGGGTGTGGGGTGTGGTGGAGGAGGACGTCAACATCCCAATTTGCCCAAATGTTGGCAAGTCAAAAAGTGTAATTTCTTAACTGTGGAACAAGCGGATGGGGTTGCATTGAGACCAGGGTGTGGCAGGCCTAAACTACCACACCAAGACAAGATCGTCTTTTTATATTAATTGCAATACACAATGGATTCAAATCTGGTCCTGTTGTCAATTCCGTACAATAACAGGAAGGCGAATTTGAATTTCAACATTCACCATTAAAAACTGGCTGTTCGCCAATGGCGCCGTGTTTACAGACGAATCAAGGTTTTGCCTCAAAATCACAGATGACAGAAAAAGTTTGTTGGTGACATAGCGGTGAGCAGTATGCCAGGGCAACAATTCTTGACCATGATCAGTCTGGGGCTGTAGTGTCATGGTGTGGGGCAGTATCACACATGATAGTCAAACTGAATCTGTTATTGTGAATGGACATTTAACTGGCCAGCAAGAGGTTGAAGAAATGATGCGTCCTGTCAATGTTCCATTCGCTACAATCATCTTCAGAAATTTTGAACTGCAAGATGACAACGCCAGACCACATCGTGCCCAGGTCACCACTGAATATCTCCGATGAGAAGACATACGGACATTGGACCGGCACACTAAGTCCCCTGACACAGAGCATCTGTGGTATGTTCTGGAGTGTACGCCAGAGTCTAAGGCCCCATCAATCTCATTTAAATCAGATCTTAGTTCTCGCTACCGCTGAACAAAGATCTGAGGACATCCCATTATGGGTCACGTCAGAACGACCTTTCATCCAACCAATCAGAGTGTCACTTACCAGATCATGAAAGTGACAGTCGGAATGTGATTTCTAATCATGCAGCCTCAAAAACGTTAAAAGGGGGTATTCCGAACGATATTTACGGGCTTAATGACTGAATCTAGACAATCTAGACCATATATTAGCCATTCTAGAACATTCTTTTGTTCAGGTTTCAAATTTTAAAGCGAGAATTTGTCAAAATATGTTTCGAAGCGTAGTCGCCACTTTGAAATTAGTGCCGTAAAGCACGAGAAAGCTGCCTTCTGATTGGCTAATGTCGACTTCTTGTCAGTAATTCCATTGGTCGGTCAGAGTTTGCGAAAGGTCGGTCTGACATGACCCGTAATGGGATGTCCTCAGATCTTTGTTTAGCGGCAGCGAGAACTAAGATCTTATCTTAATGAAATTGAGCCCCCGTCAACGTGGCCAAGTTAGAGGTAGCTCTCAGGCAGAATGGTGGGCAACACCGAAGATAAACATGCACAAGTTAATCAACATTATGCCACCAGGTGTCATGCATGTATCACCCAACATGGTGGACACACCAGATATTGATCTTCACACCCGAAATTAATTTTACAGACATGTATCGCCATAACACCTTCACAATCATTTCATTAGTTCCCTTATTTTTGGTCGGTAGTAAATGTACTATATCCAGTGGTACTAATATTTAACAATTCGATAGCTGTGGCAGTGAAAATTTAGCTAAGGGTGTTACCATGAAATATATACTCTAAATGACTAAATAAATACATTATCTGTTAAAAAATGATAATAAACCCATCAGTAGAAACGGAAACATGGGAGTTCAACAGTGTAAGTTCAGTATATGATATGATTAATAGAATCATTTGGTTGCTGTAATGTATTTTTAAACATATTTAAAAATCGAAATGTTGGTATTTCAATTATCTTAAGGCACAAATATATATAAACACTCTACTTAAGACGAAACAATAACAACAATGAACACCTTAAGTTGAAATCTGTGCTGCTAGAGCAACATCAGTCAATGTTAATGTGCCTGCTACTGATGGAGTGACACACACAACTGTACCACCATGTGCTCTCTATGCTGTTCTCTTCTATTAACAGAGGAACCCAAGGGAAGAAGGAAAGATTTGTTGAAAAAAGAGGTAAGTGATAATTGAAAAAAAATGTATTGAGCTATTTTGTCTTTGCAAGCTGTAAGCTCTTTCCAATATAAAAAACTCCATTTATATTTTGTCCACCTTCCTGGTGTGTTCCGAATGCAGAAAAACGTCATGGTTAAAAAAAAAAAAAGGTTCAGTTTTGGGGGGTTGTTTGTTTGCTTGTTTGAGTTTATTTGAGATATTTTTTACATGTTAATATTCTAAATGGAGACTGCCAGTCCTGTGTGTCATGTGTGTTATACAAACCTCTTGTTGCAGTTAGTGCAATTCCAATATATTGATTTCATCAGTGGTGTATTTCATCACTGGTCAATCAATTTCCAATTATTTTAGTTTATTTTTGGAATAGCTGATCCCTGAAGATCCAGGTTAAAATGGGTCTTCAGAAACCCAACTTGTCGTAAGAGCGATAAACAGAATCGGGTGGTCAGACTCACTGGCTTGACTGATACATGTCATCGTGTCCCAATTGCCTAGCCCAATGCTCATGATATCAGTCACTGGATTGTCTGGTCCAGACTCGATTATTTACTGACCACTCTCATACCGCTGGAATATTGCTGAGGTTGGCGTTAAACAACAAGCAGACATTGTAATAGCTTGGTTAGTAATAATAAGAGTTTAAACAAGATAAAGCTCCATGTGTCAACAGAGAAGGTTCTAAGTTGTATTACTGCTGGGATGTTTTACATGATTGATTGTCTCTTCCCCTTTATCAACCATTAATTGATCGTGATTTACCTTTGTGAATCAATGATTTTATCTTGTTATTTTGACTAATATCCAACACTAGTTGCTTTTATGGAATATTTTGCCTTAACCTCTATTGTCTTTAACCAAATTATGTCTCAAATGGAACCCAGCCACATTTTGAGTGCATAAATGTCTGTGATACCCAGATCTGTTCATAAAAGTATAAATAAATACAAACTTTGTAGAGAGTCATAATTTGTCTTTTGACATCAAACTCGTATTGATTAAAGTAGCAAAGCATCAAGGCTTGCCTGAGAAGATTGCTCCTTGCATTGACACGTCTTGAAATATTTGTTATCAATTGTTTGTTTGTTTGTTTGTTTGTTGTTTAACGCTGCACTCAGCAATATTCCAGCTATATGACAGCGGTCTGTAAATAATCGAGTCTAGACTAGACAATCCATCAACTGATATCATGAGCATCGATCCATGCACTTGGGATACAATGACATGCATCAACCAAGTCAGTGAGCCTGACCACCCGATCCCGTTAGTTGCCTCTTACGACAAGCATAGTCGGCTTTTACGGCAAGCACAGGTTGCTGAAGACCTATTCTATCCCGGATCTTCACAGGTCTATTTCATATCAAAAGACAGAGGTTTATACCTATGTTGCATGTAAAAGTTTTCATAGTTCAAAATGCAATGGTAGAATGTATAATGTCTTGTACAAAATGGTAAATGTGTCAAGACTTTAATCTGTTGAGAAATACTGCCAGTCTGTGACATCATAAGTAGTGTTCGACACTATCACTGGTCCACTGGTCCATGTCTAGTATATTTTCTTACGGACCAGTAAAATTAAATAAATGCTGGTCTGGTGGACTGGTGTTATTTTGGGGATAAAAAAAGTAATTTAAGTTTTGATGACTTTTGAAATTAGCAATAGTTCAGCTCTAAATTATTAGCAAAGAAAGCAACCAAAACAACCCTGTATGGTAAAGTGGTTACCTTCTTGGCTGGTTTCTCATTCTAACTGCATACAGAAGTAATACTTTACAAACCCCTATTTGGTCAGGACCACTGTGTCTAGTGGAGATCCAACAGGACCAGAAGATTTTTGACATAATGTGGTCAATGTCAAACACTGTAGGGGAACGTTACAACATAATTTCACAGATGACAAGTGTGCCAATACTGGATACTCAATGGCCATAATTGGGAACCATTTGGTTAATGCTTCTAGGGTTACAACAGAGTCTTGTCATCAGTACAGGCCATACTTTCCTGACAATCAAATCATGATGATGGTTTGCAATAGTAAATAAAGAGAGAAGATTAATGCTTTTTATCGGAGGGTGCACTGGTATCCCGGTTGTCTAAGGCCCCGCAATTCGTCGCCTGGGTTCGAATCATGATTTGCCCCGATTATGTTTCAAGGATTGTCAGCATCATACCGTGCTCATGGGTGTCACCAAAGTGGTAAACGTCTGAGACATGCATCACTTCGGGATGTCGTCCCACCTTAATCTGGCATGCTGTGATATAACTGGAATACTGTTAAAAGCAGCGTTAACCCAACTAACTCACTCTCTCAATCTCTCTGTAACGGCAGCATGTTTATGTTTATGATAGCCATCGTTTGTTCCATTGCACCATGATTGGTAAACGTGTTGAACCAGATCTAAGTGTCATCCTATTCCTGATAAAACTCCGATCATTTCACTGCAGCTGGAGAAGTGGATGGGCAAAGCAGAGGAGATCAAGTCATATCTGTCAGTGAAGTCCCTGTCGACGGAGACAGTCACGAAGCAGGACGAGGAGGAGAACAATCAGTATCTAGGTATGGATGTAGGCTTGTGGTGTTCACAGTAGGTGGCACAAGGGAAGGGAGTCATACGCTTCAGTCAGCAATATCACACAGACACTTATTTGATGCCATGTTTTCAACTTAAATGTTTTCATCTTGCACTTGTTTGATTACAAATTGTACCGTTCCTTTCCCCAAAGGCTGTATCCTTGTTTGTTACTGCTAGATCACAGTGATAATGTGCTGTATAGCCATATCAACAGCTATGATACAGAAGAAAGTTGATCTGGTATCCATGTGCTGTCTGTACTCACCAGACATTGTGTCCACTCGATACCCTGTGTAGTCATCTTTGTAGATAGTCGTCTTGTAGCATTGACATATTCCACTCCTGGATGCACCTAGAGGTGGAATGGGAGGGTGGCTAGTTCACTCTCCATGCCACCAGTGTTTTTGTGGTCCTCATGTGGGAAGCTCCTGTAGTTGTTGTTTTGTGCCTCAGGAACAGGGAGCTACGCCTGTGAAACGCCTCCTGTAAAGGTGACTTGAGTTCAGTGTCATCCCGCATGTACCAGCACATGATGAGGTGCAGGGAGTCTGTGTGTAGTGGGTGGTGGGGAGATGTGTGTTGTCCTGCCATATGGGTGTACCTGGCTTATCATGCATCACCTAAGCATGAATGCATGTTCCTTCATAAATAATCTAAATCCAAAATTATAGGGTTCCTGATATTCCATAGTAATTGAAACTTCATAAATAATCTAAATCCAAAATGAAAGGGTTCCTGATATTCCATGCTAATTGAAACTTCATACACAATCTAAATCCAAAATGAAAGGGTTCCTGATATTACATAGTAATTGAAACTTCATAAATAATCTAAATCCAAAATGAAAGGGTTCCTGATATTCCATGCTAATTGAAACTTCATACACAATCTAAATCCAAAATGAAAGGGTTCCTGATATTCCATAGTAATTGAAACTTCATAAATAATCTACATCCAAAATGAAAGGGTTCCTGATATTCCATAGTAATTGAAACTTTAACTTTTAACACTGGAGTCATGACAAGGACCCCTTGACTTATATGCTTGTTTAGTACAGTGATATGTTTTGTTTTTCTTTTTTGTTGGCATTTTGCAGTCACTTACCCATCGTTATCTCATGGTGGTGATGAAGAATCATCTGTTGTATGAATGATTGCTTCATTTTCCTTAGTTGCTGGTTATTGATGTGAATCCCAGAGTTCCCCTTCTGGTTTGCCTCTTACCCATGCTGTGGATTTCAGCAATGTGATAAGTGTCAGTGATATATGACACGCCGTGAGTGGACATGCCATGTTAGAACTGAAATAACTTCAACTCACTGACTAGTCATCAAGGTGACTGATGGAGCAAGAAGCTGTTAAGAAGGGATTCGGATGTTGACATCCATATCATCCTGTCCTAGTCACTTCCAGAGGCAGTGGTTCTATTTCTCTCATGAGTACAATGTGTGGAGTTGTGATTTGCCTGGAATATTACCATGTGACAGTTACGGGCTGTACAAATGCGTCTGTCGAAATCCAAGTCTATCTCTTGCTTCAATGGAATAAACATTTGAAATGAAAGAGACTTTTCATAGACCATCAGAAGGTCTGACATACAATCATGGCCGTCTATTAAACATTCCTGAATTTTCATTTGTTTAGTTTCCAAATTTTGAATCAATAAATTTGTCAAAATATTTTTCAAAGTGTAGTCTGGAAGTGAAGACGCCATTATGATACCAGTGCCGTCAAGTTCGAGAAAGCTGCTTTCTGATTGTATAATGTCGACTTCCTATTAGTTATTTCATTGGTCAGTCAAAGTTTGCGAACGGTTGTTCTAACGTTTCTGGGACGTCCTCCAATTTTATTGTAGCAGTAGCAAGCACAACGATCTGATTTTATTGTGATTGATTAAGGTTCTGATGGTTACAGAATTTTATGCAATGTTTCACTCCATGAATTAAGTCCACAGCACTTTTCTGAACAGTGACATATACAAATTAGATTTTGGGAGGAAATAATTTGTCCTGGAATTTTAGTCTAAGACGATGGGACAAGTGGCCAAGTCTAAGCCTCTTGTGACCAGGTGTCATGTACCCCAACAGCCTGGATCATGTATGAGGTCCAGATGGTCCAGATGGGGTCCGTCCCACACCGCTGTGTTACAGCCGGCACATTGCTGACATCCACTTGCCCTGAAACACAACTCAGACTTTGAACTTAATCTGAAGATTTACAAAAAAAAGATGATTTACCCTCCATGCAGCTGTAGTGGACGAAAACGTTTATTTTCCCCCTCGATAAATTTTCTGTGTTGTTTTCTGATCAGCCTGTGATAAAAGTGATGTAGCAAGTCTGTCATCATTGAAGGTGCAAGATCCGATTTACTAGTTGTCCTCTTTTTCACTAAAATTTTATCTGTCATAACAAATCTCAAACTGGCGTTTATTACTCTGCACTGTACAGAAATTCCTGCGTGGAACGAAAGGGATTCCCAAGAGCATTGTCACCTATAAATAAGTTCAACAGCATGACTCTTCTCTCACTTCATAATGCCAGTCTGTGTAAAAAGGGTTTGTCTGTGGCGCCATACATGTTCTTTGTGGTCTTACTACGAATGAGATAATCGAGAACTGTGGAGAGATTTGTAAACAACTCATTGACACTTTGATCAGGTCAGGGTGGTTGAAAAAAAATATATGTAAAGTTGACTGTAGACATATCATAAATCTCATTTTTATTTTTATTTATTATAAACCTACTGCCTGTTTGTGTAACTCGATATGGAGTTTTTGAAATTGCGGTTACACCTCGCAGGAGGTATTACAACGATTGTAACACCTCGAAGGAGGTATTACAACGATTGTAACTCCTCGGAGGAGGGCTTACAATCATTGTAAACCCTTGATGGAACAAAAACTACGAACAGCCTACGAGACGCATGTGCAGATTTCGTGCCATTGCGAGACGCAGGTGCAGATTTCGCACCGTTGCGAAACCCACGTGCTGAGGTAGCCGGTTTCATTAAACCGAGTTCACGACTGCAGGCGATATTTCATCTCCGATATAGGTTATACATTTGAGAGTTTTTATTACAGTTATTTAATTAAAAACGTTGTCTATGCGATGAGTCGGTTTATAAGTTGGACAAGCCATGTCTCCTCGAGATTACTAGAGATTGTAAACCCTCATGTGAGCGAAGTCCCTCATGTGAGGGTTTACAATCTCTAGTAATCCCTCGGAGACATGGTTTCTCCTACACTTAGAATATGCCAAATATAAGTGACAATAGGAAAGATGTAACTGTTGAACCTTAACTCTCGAAGTACCATGGTTACTTTGCAAGTATAGAACTGCCATCCCACAAGGCTGTATGGCCGTATTGATGAAGAAGTATTACATGCAGTACAGAGTTATTCCCCTTGTAACAGTACACCAGGTTTTCCCATCCCTGCCCATATAATGCCTACTTAATGATGTTAACAGCATCTGAGTAAATAAACTGACAATTTTCTGGCAGTAAATTTATAAACAATAAATATACAAAAATGCTGGCAATTTGATGGGGGGACTGAGAGAGACCACATTGCTTCTGCGTTAACAGCAGTTGCATAAACAGATCTGGTGTATAGCCGCATGCCGGTATTGTGCACGTTTGATAGTGGCAACATTATACAAGAGGGTCTTCACAGGGGTACTCTGCCAACCATGGTTCGGCATTTAGATAAATCAGTTTGAACATTTTTTGTGAATTGATTATTTTTATTTATTACACTCACCTCATTTGAATATAGGGGCGGTCGTGTAGCCTTGTGGTTAAAGCTTTCGCTTATCACGCCGAAGACCCGGGTTCAAATCCCGACATGGGTACAATGTGTGAAGCCCATTTCTGGTGTCCCCCGTTGTGATATTGCTGGAATATTGCTAAAAGTGGCGTAAAACCATACTCACTCCCCACTCATTTGAATATTACTGAAGGACGCTCATGGATGAATAAAAGAATAAATTCAAGTGTCACTTTCATGACATATATACATGATGTATACAATTTATTCACAATCCAATGACATTTTTTAGACATTTTCTGTATAAACATGCACATAGCTTTGTATGCTAGAAGAGAAAAGCATTCAACAAAAGTCTGTAAGGTTTCTTCAGCAGACTTTGTTTCTGATGTATAACTATTGCTAAAACATACTTAAGCTTCATGCCTTATCATGTTTTTTTGTGTATTAGTGATCAAGGAACTTGCCAAAGCATGGTTTCTGTTGGTTAGTGAGGTGAAAAGTTAATTACCCAAGGAAAAATATAAAGGGATTCTGTCCATCAATGTTCTGTCCAATCAAACTCTTTCAGGATGAAGGAAAAACAGGTGGAAATATTGTTCTGAATTATTGTCAAAAGATAAAGAATACACATCAATTTGAAATTAATTATCACTGGATCAGAATGATTAAAGTTATGTCCCTTGTTTTTCTGTATTCTGTACTTACAACCTGTAAAGATCCGGGTTTGAATAGGTCTTCAGCAACCCATGCTTGCCATAATAGGCAACTATGATTGTCATAAGAGGCTACTAACAGGATCAGGTGGTCGTTCGCTCAGATGGTTTATACATGTCATTGTATCCCAATTGCGTAGATTAATGCTCATGATATCAGTCGCTGGATTGTCTGGTCCGGACTCGATTATTTACAGACCGCAGTCATGTAGCTGGAATATTGCTGAGTGCGGCGTTAAACAACAAACTTCCACATCATGCCATGGAGTTAGCAGGACAAACACCAAACTCTGTTATCTCTCAGAGACTTGGACCCTGAAGGTAGCATTGTTTGTTTTTTCAAAATGTCCGGACAGAAAAATTTAAATGTCCGGTAAGCAGTATTTTAAATTGGACATTTGAGAATCCAATCGGACATGTCCGGCGCATATGACCATTTCCGGACCCCTGCATCTCTGCTGGGAAACCTTTCAGGCAGTCTTAGTGATGTTCATTACAGGTA